ACATTTTTATATCGTAACATTTTTTTGAGGCGGGGTGGGGGAGATAATAATGATTTAGTAATACAAATCTTATTAGTTAACCCATGGGTGGGGATGAGAAGCGTTACATTGATACCTTTCCTAAAGGTATTTTCGCGTACGTGAATATAAAGAACCCAAAGGGAATTGGAACTCGGTTCTCTGATTATTAATTCCGAGCCATTGTACATTACACCATCCGCACATCCAAGTTTACAGCGCTTGGTATTCCCAAGCAGTTACTCATCTAGGTACTGACCAGGTCCGACGTTGCTTAACTTCGGTGATCGTACGGGATTCAACGTGATATGGCGACTAAAAGAAATGGGAAGATACAGGAGGCGATAATGCTCTCAGCTGTTTAACGTCTGCTTCAATGAAATGAAAAACCTTACCAATTTTGAATCTTTTCATTTGTAGCCTCTTACTTCTTGACCTGTACTCACACTTATGATTGTCATTGCAATATTTTGTGAAAGTTGGTAAACTCAAATATTTAATGATGGATTAGAGGAATTTTCACGGGTGTTCTGTAGACTTGGAACTCGCAAGGAGATTATTCAATCATTAACGTAAGAATTATAATTCACCAGAAAATTCAAATAGGAAAACCGTGAAAATTGCACGCTTATATCTAGTTAGTTGCTATTTTATTTGACGATTACTATAAATATATATTTGATATGCTGCTTAACGATCGTTCTTAGCGGCTTTTAAGTGAGGATTAGTCAAGCAACTCTTCTTTTTTTAATCCCTGAATATCATCGCAAACGTCTTAGTCTAATATTAAATGCATAAACAGAAGTAAACATGTTTTTTTTTGTAAAATATTTTTAATTACATTCTAGAAAAAAATTAAAAATGTAACGAAAAGGAAACAGAAAAAAAACTTTAAAATGAAAAGTATTTCAAGAAAAATTGGTAAATCAAATACATTTTGTGAGATAAAAGCAATTCTGATGTTAACGACATTGATGAAGGCGCAAGCAGTCCTAAGTCAAAGTAGGTCCAGATTGATGAGTAAAGGGAGATAACCGGGAAATCGAAGTCAGAAAATTATCATTAATAACTCTCTCCAATTTGCGCACACTTTATACCATATTCTTAATACTTGATATAATGCAAAAATATAATAATAATAAAATCGATCAATAATTATTTCTACTCAGACTCATGCATGCAATCACAAGTAATCCATAATAATATTTTAAATTACGAAATCATATTTATTTTCGGCATATGAATTTATTGAAACTGTTTCTAAATTTTTGATTGTCTTTCAATCATTCCGCTTCAACTGCTATGCTCTTCCGCCTCACCAGCTATCCTCTTCCACCTCGACTGCAATCTTGTTCCGCCTCACCTGCTATCCTCTTCCACCTCGACTGCAATCCTCTTCCGCCTCACCAGCTATCCCGCTTCACCTGCTATCCTCTTCCGCCACACCAGCTATCCTCTTCCACCTCACCTGCTATCCTCTTCCGCCTCACCAGCTATCCACCTGCTATCCTCTTCCCGCCTCAAGCTATCCTCTTCCACCTCCTCTTCCTCTTCAGCCGCACCTGCTATTCTCCTCCACCTCACCAGCTATCATCTTCCGCCTCACCTGCTATCCTCTTCCGCCGCAACTGCTATCCTCTTCAGCCTCACTAGCTATCCTCTTCCGCTTCACCAGCTGTACTCTTCCGTTACACCAGCTATCCTCTTCCACCTCGACTACAATCCTCTTCCGCCTCAACTGCTATCCTCTTCAGTCTCACCCGCTATCCGCTTCCACCTCAACTGCTATCCTCTCCAGCCTCACCTGCTATTGTCTTCAGCCTGACCTGCTATTCTCTTCCGCCTAACCTGCTATCATCTTCCGACTCACCAGCTGTCCTCTTACACCTGCTATCCTCTTAGGCCTCAACTGCAATCCTCTTCCGCCTCAACTGCTATCATCTTCCGCCTCAACTGCTATCATCTTCCGACTCACCAGGTATCCTCTTCCGCCTCACCTGCAAACCTCTTCCGCTTCAACTGCTGTCCTCTTCCACCTCACCTGCTATCCTCTTTCACCTCAGCTGCTATCCTCTTCCGCCTCACCTGCTATCCTCTTCCGCTTCACCAGCTATCATCTTCCGCCTCACCTGCCATCCTCGTCCACCTCAACTGCTGTCCTCTTCAGCCTCACCTGCTATCATCATCATCTGCCTCAATGACTATCCTCTTCCGCCTCACCAGCTATCCGCTTCTACCTCACCTGCTATACTATTCCGCTTCACCAAGTATCCCCTTCCAACTGCTATCATCCTCTTCCGCCTCACCTGCTATCCTCTTCCGTCTCACCTGCTATCCTCTTCCGCTTCAACAGCTGTCCTCTTCCGTCTCACCTGCTATCCTCTTCCGCCTCACCTGCTATCCTCTTCCACCTCAACTACTATCCTCTTCCGCTTCACCAGCTATCCTCTTCTGTCTCACTTGCTATCCTCTTCCGCCCTAAATATGAGACGCACGCACCGTTTGAGAACCACTGCGTTAACGAATTTTATTGCTGCAATCATTGGCTAGATTAAAAGATTATACATGAATCTAAAGGATTTTCTCATCTATTTACTTCAAATTTTTTCACCTATTTTTTATTCCCCAGTACCAGTTGTGAATTCTGTGATGAACCATTTGTATTTATTATTCATATCCAGTTAGCCTTTTTCATCTTCATCATTGTTATGTTTTTGTGAATAAAGAAGTAGTTTCAAACATGAATTTCAAACTCATATCCTTTTAGTCTAGGACCTTTTATGAAAGTCAACTTAACCAATTCACCCAAATAAGAAAGAAAAAAAATAGTTAGGAATGAATATTAAAAGACACGTAAAAGAGACTCAAAAGAATTTTACAATGGAAGTCAATAAATTAAGAAAAGTAAATCAAATTCATTAAAAAAAAAGAAAACCTCCCCAAAATAATGAAATCATGAATCGATCAAAAATGCGAACGTGTCGATTTCTTTAATTTTAATCAGAATGTTTTCTTCTAGATCAAATTCAATTTTGTTTTTCATGCCAGATAATGAATTTTAGTGAAAGTGTCAATTTGTGCCTAAAAGACTAAAATAAAATAGAAACTAAATAAATATAAAAGACTAAATAAAACCATAAAAACATAAAATAATATGCAAAACAAAAAATAACAAGAAAATAAAAATAAAAATCCAAATAAGTAATTAAAACAAAAATAAAATGAAAAAGAAAATAAATAGTTGAAAATAAATGAATAAAATAAAATAAAAATAATATAAATATAACAAAAAATGAATAAAAATAAAAATTAGTAAAGTAAAAATACGTTAAATAGAGACTAAAAACCAAAACCAGCAACTAAAATAATATAAAATAAAAGTAAAAACTAAAAATATAAAAAAAATAAATTAAATTTAAAAAATAATAAAAATAACAATGACAGATAAACAAAACAATCCACCGTTAGCAAAAAAAAACAAAAAAAAAAACACCCCCCTCCTCCAAAAATCCCCGAATCTTATGCGAATGTTCATTTCCATTCATTGTCGCTGAATCCATTATTCATTTCAAAGCAGACAAATTCTTTTTGAAATCATTCTGTACGAATATATACGCAAATCGCTAAGAGTTAGTCCTTGGATTAATTTCCGAATGTTAGGTTTATGATTGGATATAATACGGTCGGGTTGAAAAGTTATCAGTCCAACCAAGAAGAAATTCCTAAGCAAATTCTGATCTTTGTGAATTTGGTGAGATTTTGTGATATGGGGTCAGATCGTGAACTTTTAGCAACCCCTCGTATATTTCCACATTAATAAAAATATTTTTAATTTTTCAAAGTTAAATAGGTTTTTTTTTTAAATAAATTTTTGCAACTGCTTATTTCTAAAGTGTCGAGTAAAAGAAATTCGTGCTTAAAATTAATTCACAAAATAATTCTGAACATCTGCAAAGAAAGATGGAAAATAAAAAAAAGGGTATTTTGTAAGGAAAACAAAACTGAACTACGTTCTAATGTAGGAATAAAGCACCCGAAGTCATTTCGTACGGGAGAAATTCCAAAATATATTTAATAGGAGTAGGTAGGTTCGTCTATCGCCCGGTTCACACATCTTCTCGGTCTTTTGAGCAGCAGTTGAGGTTTATCACTTGTTTCCGGTTTAAAATTGGGTTTCCGGTTCCTTTTCCTAAAATAATCCCATTCTCTTTCACTCCCAGCAGCCCCTTGCGTCTTAGTGTCATTATCACCTTGCTCGGAGTGAATTGAAAAAAAAAATGCAATGAAGAAAAATTCGATTGTCGGGGTTACATCAACAGCATCTACTCAAGATAAATTGATCAAAATCGAAACAGCGAAACTTTTACTTTAAAATTTTACTTTTATACCTGTTACCAGGCATAGCAAATGGTGAAGCATTGCAACATGAGGAAACACCTTCACAATCATTCTATACAGTAAACAACTATTTCACTGATGAAGACATGGTAGTGTTACGTGATTGGTTGCTCTAACCTCCAACACACTTCGAGTTGAGGCTGTAGGTCGTGCTAATGAGAGCAATACTAAATACTGATTTTTAATATCTCTAAATATATAAATTTAAAACTACTTAGCCTTTAGTGGTTTAGACCTTTCCCATGAATAATTTCCAGTATCACCATGGCTTCAGACCTGCAATATCTCATCGTTCTATTAGAATGTGACAACTTCCATCCTGAATAAAGAGAAACACTATTCCTAGATTGTCAAACACTTATAATTTCTGAGTAAAAGTTTAACAAATTGTTACTTTTATTTATTTTAACGCGGGATCTATTTTCTTTTGCCCGACATTATATATCTAGTAATGTGTATGGTCAGATTGCGGGTAGAATATTTACGCGAAATTCAATTTTTTTATTAGGTGCCTACCTAGTAAATCAGTATTCAAAATCCTGAATTTTACAAAGGTTTGAACTGATAACAAATAGGAAAGGCATGAACGTTTACCCAGCTATGGCCTAAATAACATTATAGACTGTCCTCTCTAGCTTTGAGTGGTAATCAGTCTAACAAAATGAAAACATTGGAGAAGACAGCGGCAAATGATTTTACTGTTATGGATATTCACAGACAGTAAAGAAAACTTATATGTGGAGAGCTATGATCACCTATGTCTTGAATAGACATGGCATTTACAAATATTTAATACTAATTATTTATTAAATGTGAGTAAGTTTAGCGAAAATCACAAGAGTACAATTTACTACTCGTCACAGTTTATATTATCTTAACATGCTCCGTCCATGGTATTCTCAGTATCCTTCTGTAGGACGACATACCTGTTGCTTCAATTTTTTTCTTCATCTGTGAATAAATAATTCAGCATTCTCTACCACGTAGGAAATTAAATATGGCATAGCAATTCTTCACCTTTTTTGTTGTTTTTAATAGAGTTTTTCGATCTGTTAATGTTTTTTTTTTACTGGAATGCATTTATTTGGATATTCCAATGGGTCTTCGGATTTCTGTTCTCTTTATTCCGTCGTTTGAATTAAATTTCACATGAATAAAACTCAAAAATAAAATCCAAGAAGTGTTTGTAAAAACAAATGGGAAGATTAATTCATCATGAAAACAATCCAGAATTTCAAAGAATACAAATATTATACAGCGATTTACTAAGCGTTGCTAATATTAGCGATTTACTAAGCGTTGCTAATATTAGCGATTTACTAAGCGTTGCTAATGTTAGCGATTTACTAAGCGTTGCTAATATTAGCGATTTACTAAGCGTTGCTAATATTAGCGATTTACTAAGCGTTGCTAATATTAGCGATTTACTAAGCGTTGCTAATGTTAGCGATTTACTAAGCGTTGCTAATATTAGCGATTTACTAAGCGTTGCTAATATTTTTACTAAGCGTTGCTAATATTAGCGATTTACTAAGCGTTGCTAATGTTAGCGATTTACTAAGCGTTGCTAATATTAGCGATTTACTAAGCGTTGCTAATGTTAGCGATTTACTAAGCGTTGCTAATATTAGCGATTTACTAAGCGTTGCTAATATTAGCGATTTACTAAGCGCCCTTGCCAGTATTATATAATGATTTAGCTTAGCTCGGATTTAGCGAGAAAATCTTGCTAACCATTACACAACGCCCAAGTGCTCGTACAAATATTATATAAGTATTTACTAGTGCACCCACACGCAACCAGATGTGACAAAAGGTCGTGGTTTTTTATAGTGGGTTTATCGGACATCCCTCGCAAAAATTTCCGTGCTCTTTGGAGACGCCTCAGGTACCGGGCAATACACTCAGATGCCTCTAATGTGATTTTCTAAGTGTAGCTTAAATGTGGCCCGAGGTCGAAAGCATGGACCTCCCTGTGAGGATCGAACTCACTACTCAGTCGTAACTGATCTAGCCAGACAACCTTGCTAACCATTATAGCATATCGAGGAGCTCCAGTAACGATTTTCCTTCCGAAATTTAGGGACGCGAAGTGAGGATCGAACTCACTGCTCAGTACGAACTGATTTAGCGAGACAACCTTGCTAACTATTACGCGACGGCAAGGTGAACCAGTGGTAATTTTCTAAGAGTCGCTTAAATGTAGCACAAGGCCGAAATTCGGGGACGCGATATGAGGATTGATCCTACTACTAAGTCGTAACTGATCGAGCGAGATAACCTTGCTAAAGTGGCAATTTTCTAAGCGTAGTTTGGATGTGGCGTAAAGCAGTAAGCATAGTTGAAGATCGAACTTCCTAATCAGTTGTAGCTGATCTAAACCTTACTAAGAACTATAAAGGATAGGAAGTTATAGAGAACCATGGCACACTTGCTAATCATTACACCACGCTGAATCACTCACACAAAATATATATTATATATATATATATATATATATATATATAATGATAAAATGATAAATAACATATTGTTGATAGATTTACTAGGTTTGCATATTTTTCTTCTGATTATTGGCAACAGTTATTAAAGGTTACGTTTCTATGTCCTAGCGATAACTTCGTGTTGTTAAACTTGACAGTGGTTTTTTTTTATATAAATAATGTGTCTTAAAGCGAGCTCTTTAAAGGTAAGAAAAACATTGGAATTTTCAAAAATTGCACCTGCTTCGTTTATAGATTGCAACAGATAATATGAAACATGGAAGGAGATTTAGAACAAGTAAAGCAGAATCCAAAATGACAAATGGTATTTGAAATTCTGTTACAACTTTCTTGTTCTGAGAGTAAATAGAAATGATACAGAAAAAATTCCACGTGAAAATCGATAAGCAAAACAGATTTAAATGAAACCTAAATGATGCTTTAAACGCAATATTACATTATTTGCATGTTTCTCGAAATGAACATTTTCTTCTTCTTCTTCTTCTGGATGTGGGTGATCATGGCTCTCCACAATTTCCTATCCTTTATAAGTCTTAGTAACGTTTGCTTTTCAGCATTCCTTCCAATCTCTATTCTGTTA